AACAGTATCCACTGTCATTGTACGAACTTGTTCACCTGCTTTCTATAAATTTATAAATATGTGGTTTTTAAAAATTATCACATTTATAAGAACAATAAACGCACACACACACTCAAAAATAAATTTCAAGTTAGCGAAATATTCTAACTTACAAGTGGAATGATTTCATCATAAACTATTGCATCGTTTAATTGACATATTGCTCTTATACGTTCCTGGTATAACATTATAAAATGGAATTCGGTTAGAGCAATGGATAATGGAATCTCTGATACTACTGAATTTGGATCATTTTCAGATGGTGTTGCCGGATAACTAATAGAGCACGCAAAAAAAATAATGATTACTGTTATTCCACCGGGGGGGGGGGGGAACAATTGAAGAAATCAAATAAACGTTGCTTACGGTAATAATTGTGCAACATCAATTACACTATCACCAACATCTTGTGACCCAAAAACAAGATTACCATGATATATACCAGGTCCTATTTTAATAAATTAAGTAACTGATAAGTTATCTATAATTGGAATCTCGCAAAGAAAAAATAAAGTAATGCCCAATTTCATCTAGAAATGGTAATTTGAATTTTTGAAAACAACCTGTTAACCATGCAAAGGTTTTAGCAGATCCTTGATCATTATATGGCGCAAAAAAATGTAATTCGCTGTATGGTAGATCACCGGGAAGTTCCTGAAATCCTATAAAAAAATTAATTGTAAATATTTTTTGAAAATGGATTCAAATAATAAAGCTTATATTCATTTACCAGGATTAGATTCATATTTAGAGAATAAACTTTCAAACATTGCACCACTATCAATATCTGCACTAGGATTTGCATTACCAATAAATTGATAAATTCTTGTAGGTGTTGTGGCTACCACAAAATATTTACGTGGTATACCGGGAAATTGTTCAAAACGCAGTCCAGTAATTGGCAAATTTTCGTTAATTGAATAAATCTACATATAAAACAATATTTTTTTGATTTAATAGTATCCTGAATAATATTAACAGTATTGTCATTATTAGTAATAATAGTAAATGCATATTAACTTGTTTACAATATTTCTCTTCTTTCTTAAAAAACTCTTCAGTTGGTTCAATCTCTGCTTCATAAATTAATCCATTACGACTTCCAATCAAAATCTTTTTTGTAGAAGTATCTGTTGGCGTTACTGTGAATTTATTCCAACCAACTGATTCAATTATTATTCCCTAATAATAACAACAATGATTTTAATGATTAATGGTGAAATAATTATCATTAATAATAAATAATTCAGACTCATGTTATATAAATAACTAACTTTAAATTTGGTAAGTGCTTTGGCTTTTTTCCATTTCTCAACAAATAAATAAAAGTTTTCTCCCTGTTCAGTTGTAATAAGTAAATGTCTTCCAGTTGGATCAAAAAATATCTTGTAGATTTTTAATTCACCGGGGTTTTTTTGGAATTTCAATATCTTTAAAAACAAAATAATGGTTCAAATCTGGTTTTTTTTTATATATATATTCGAAGGGAAATATATCCAAATTAATTACCCTCTACGTCGTGTGCTTGTTGTAAATCTATTCTCAATATATGGTTAGTCTCTAAAGCCATTATAAGAATTTCATTAGATACTGCCATTGCTACTAAAGATGCCGGAAATTGAAATTGAACACGATCCAATGTAAAAACATTTGAAGATTCATCAGCTAAACCAGTAGTAACAAATCCTTCCAACTAAATCAACCAATTTATATTTAGAAAGTTTTACTAACTAATAAAAATAAAATAAAATAAAAAGACAAACCATAACGGGCTCAAATCCTAAAGATTCTGGAAAAAGACTTCCAGAATTCGTAGCATAATATGGATTTGAGGGTTCATTGGTATTTTCAATGTAGTCTTCAATTAAAGACATTTTTTATCCTAAATTAATTTTCTCAGAGAAGGAATTCACTTGCACAGTTACACTAGATGTTACATTTTAGTATTATAAACTTTTAAAAGCATTTAAAAATTCTACTTTAAAAAATATACACACAACAGAAACATGGTGGCTCATCCAACTACCGAGTGGACCCAACTTCAGGATCGCTTTTATAGGTTAGTGGCAGCATTAATTAATCTGTAGAAATTTCAACAATTTACGATAATTAAAATTACTTGTTTTAATTCCTCGATAGAAAACAAGAAATTTACACAATGTTGTGGAAGCGTATGGATCTATCAAAATATATGATAGCAGGTGCTCCATATGGAGGTCCGATAGGTAATAAATACATTTTTTAAATTATATGACGGTGATGTTTTTTGAATTCACCGTAAGATATTTTTTAATTATTATTTAGCAATGATACGCGACGATAAAAAAGTTATATTATTAGAAAAGCAACAACCAGTAAAGCCTACTATATATTTATACACCTCTGCAGGAAAATTAATGGAACAATTACAAGTAATAATAAACCACTCCAATTGTCAAGTTTATTTAATAATTGTTTGATTACTTCGGATAAATTCGTTAAATTCGTTTTTATTTTAATCAATGGATTTCAAAATTTTATTGGTTGAAAAACTTGTAAATTAGTGGGACAAAGGTAGAATTATTTCGATGGGCTGGACTGATAGGGAGCAGTTGATTGTGGTGTTGGAGGATGGTACAGTTAGATTATATGATATTCATGGAGAATATACACAATGTTCACTTGGAAAAGTGGGTTTTCATTTTATTAATTAATTAAAAACAAAATAATAAAATAATTTAAGGAGTTTATTTTATATACGTGTGTATATGTTCTATTATTATTATTATTACGATAGGAAGCAAAAGATCATTCTGTTATTGATTGTCAAATATGGGGGACAGGATTAGTAGCTTTAACAGGAAATTTCAAGCTTATAGAACTTACAAATTTTGTAGAGCCAAGACCAAAACTTATGGCAGATCCAGGCATGTAATATAATTACTATATAATTATATTTACAATATATGTTTGTATATATATATTTGTATTAATTTAAGTAATTATGAATATTTAAAGGTCTTAATGAACCACCTCATAGTTGGACAGTGATACAGCCACAATACTCTTTGAGTCGCCATGTGGAGGTATTGTTAGCAACTGGTGCCACTATATTAACTGTAGATGCCAAAGAAGCTCAGGATCAAGTACATATTGATTGATTTACACTTAGTTGTTATAGTTCATAATTCATTGTACAATTATTTCAACCGATTTTTCTTTTCCAATAGTTACTTCAAAAAGGCCCTTTTACCAAAATGGCAGTATCACCAAATGGCAAATACCTTGCTCTTTTCACAGCCGATGGCAAACTTTGGGTTGTATCCACTGATTTTCAAAAAAATTTAACCGAATTCTCCACCAAATCTCAGGTCTCTCCTCAACAATTGGTTTGGTAGAGTATTTTTTTTCTTAAGGCATTTGTTATATTGTCAATTGAATTTTTGTTACTTATGAACATTTATCATTTAGGTGTGGTGCAGATTCTGTTGTTTTATATTGGGATACAATTGTTTTGATGGTTGGTCCACTTGGTGATTGGATTAAATATTCTTATGAGGATGCTATTTATCTTATTCCAGAAATCGATGGAATTCGTGTGATAAGTAGTGACAAGTGTGAATTTTTACAAAAAGTTCCAAGTATGTCTTATATTTAAATATAATATTTAATTAATATTTATTATATTTGTTTATTTTTAAAAACATTCACTCACCACTTATTTATTTATGAAGATGTTATTGAAGAAATTTTTGGAATTGGATCTACTGCACCTGCTGCTATGTTATTTGATGCTTTGGATCATTTTGAAGTAAAATACATGTCATGGATTTTATTTATTAAAGAAAATTTTGTGATTTTTTTTTTAATTCACATACATGTATATACATAGAAATCTAGTCCAAAGGCAGATGAAAACATTAGAGCCATACGACCAGCACTAGCCGATGCTGTTGATGCATGTATTGAGGCAGCGGGGTATGAACTTAATCAATATTGGCAAAAAAGTTTGCTTAAAGCTGCAGCATTTGGCAAAACATTTATGGAATCGTACAATGCTGACAAATTTGTAAATATGTGTCAAACTTTACGAGTGTTGAATGCAGTTCGTTACTATGAAATCGGAATTCCTGTAACATACGCACAGTAATTATTGATTGGTTTTTTGAATGATTTTACATATTTATATATATGTTAATAATTTTTTTAAAAAAAAGATACACACGAATTGCACCTGATTTTCTGATTGATATACTGAACAATCGACATCATCATTTATTAGCATTACGTATTTGTGAATATTTAAAAATGAGATCTGATAGAGTGCTTGTTCATTGGGCTTGTGCAAAAGTAAATTTAGAATATATACAATTATAAACATAATTAAAATATATTTTGTTGTTTAATTAGGTGGTTTTTTTTTTTTTTTTTATTTAGATTAAGAAATCAAGAGATGATGAAGAAACAATTTGTCGTATGATTGTTGAAAAATTGGCAAATAAACCAGGTTTATCATATGCAGATATTGCAAAGACTGCACATAAAGTCGGCCAGCCAAAATTAGCAGCAAAGGTTAATCAAATATTTTTTCAAATATTCTTTATAAAAAACTGACTTATTTATATTATTAAAAAATTTATATAGTTACTTGATTATGAACCTCGTGCTGCTGACCAAGTTCCATTGCTTACAAGTCTACAAGAGGACGAATTAGCATTAATTAAAGCAATTGAAAGTGGTGATACTGATTTAGGTTAGTGAAAATTATAGCAACAACAATAATTTATTTCTTTATGATTCAGAAGATGCTATTATTGTTATTGACATTGTTATCATTGTTAACTAACAACAATAACATTTTATGTATGTTTAGTTTATTTAGTAATATTTCATCTTAAACGAAAACTTAAGGGAGGGGAATTTTTTAGAATAATTAATAATAAACCTATGGCATGTAATTTATTTGAGGTTTATTGCAAACAACAACAAGATTATAAAACCTTGGATGATTTCTATTTACAAGATGATCGTCGAGTGGAACATGCTAGTATTTTTATTATAGAAAGTTATGAACAAAAGGTCAATAATAATTTTTCATTTTTTAAATCAAAATGGATGATTTTTTCATTTATTAAAAATGGCTGGTTTATTATATTTAGGAGATTGTTGAAAGAATAAATAAATTGAAATTATCACAGAAATATTTTCACGAAGAGAAAGAACGTTCATTTGAAGCAAAGGTACAGAAACAAATCATAACCTTTATCATAATATATAAATTAAAAAAAAGGTTTTTATATGTTTGATCATTCTCTGCTATTTTTAGGCTATTGATGAATATATAAGATTATTGCAAACTCAAATACAATTAGAAAAGGATATAAATCAACCATTTGTTGATTTATCTCTAAGTGAGACTGTTCATAAATGCATTATTACTAATAATCACAATAAAGCAAGTAAGCTCAAGTCAGATTTTAAAATACCTGATAAAAGGTTTTGGTGGATTAAATTAAAGGCTTTGGTGGAAATGAGAGGTTGGGAGGAATTAGATAAATTGTCAAAATCAAAAAAGTCTCCTATTGGTTATGAGGTAAATATTTATAAATTTGTTAGTTCTTACAATTAAATATTATTTAACTTGTTTTTAATTATTTGGTTACTATAAATGTAGCCATTTGTTGAGGAATGTATCAAAGCAATGCAACATCGAGAAGCTTCTAAATATA